GAAACCCAATATTCCAAAAAATGAAAATATTATTAAAAACAAGAGTAAAAGCAATGAAAACAAAAATAAAAATGCCACTAAACCCCTGGCGAAACAGACAGTCACAAAACCACAGAATTTTCCACCGGGTGCGCAAAGCTTTCAACTCAACAGAAGCTATGTTGAAGGACACTAAACTGACCCCTTCCCCCTCTAATGAAACCAACCCAAGTTTCAACATTAATGAGTTCAGGGCACTCATGGAACTTGGAAAAGAGTTTGGGAATGATGAAAACCTCCTGAGAGCCATGCAGCTCAGCTTCTTCTCTGGCACCCCCAAAATATGCCTATAGAACATATCTAACATATATCAACTACCTCAAAATTAAAATGGCCACTACCTTCCCCACTCCTCAGCCCTAATGTCTGGTTCCCTTGAGATTTGTTTCTGGAACGCAGCGGGTTTGCACCCAAAATTCCAATAAATTTGGGAATACATCGTGGGTAATATTTTTGATTTAATTCTTATCCAGGAAACTCTTTTCTCTAATAAGGGGAGCAGCCCCCAATTATATGTTATTTATTTTAATAACAGGAACAATGTTACTACCGCTTCAAGTGGTACGTGTATTTAAGTAAAAACAGCGTTATACACCAAGATGTTCTCACTTCCTCTCTTCAAAATTTAGAGGTGACAATCACAAAAATTTTTATTCTAAATTTTCTGCNCAAAACTTTTTATTCCAAATTTTCTGCCACTTAAAAAGTTACCCCCCCCCCCTAAAAAAGATGAGATACCTTTTCTGGCAGACAATTTTTCTAAATTACTGTCGCTGAGAGCAAACATCATCTTCGCAGGAGATGAAAAACGAACCTTTTGAAATAATAATTTTAACAATGTGTTTCGCAAAAATCTGTTAAACTGGATCGAAAGCACCGGTAACAGAACTGTAGCCCCTTTCGAAACACATGTACGAAAAACATATGCATATGCGAAGAAATAATTTTTTATAATTTTTGGGTTCAAATGACAACGTTGATACTAATACCAGATCAAAGAATAGGTGTCAAAATTTCGAACAACATTCATATGCTAAGATATATCTATAAAGCGTTTTTTTTTTTAATATTTTATTATCTCCTTTTCTCTCTATATATAATTGTTAGCGCAAGTGTCGTTAAAATCAATGACGGTGTAAGATACGATATGAGGTGGTAAAAAAATTCCGTATAGCTCGATTCTCCATTGCTTTCTATTCATTATTAATAGCTGATCTTAAGGGGATAATTTGGTGGACACTTTAATAATTTTTTATAATTTTTCGGTTCAAATGACAATTTTCATGCTAATACCAAATAGCAGAACAGGTGTCAAAATTTCAAAAAACATATACATATGCTGAGAATTATGTATAACTCATTTTTAAAAAGTCTTTTATTTGGTCCTTGTCGCTCTATATATAATAGCTACCACAGGTNAACAATATTCTGTATGGCCTACACTTAATATATAATGTATACTATTGTTTACTTCATCTATAGGTATTCCTCTCTAATTATTATTGATTGCTGGTTTTAAGGGGATCATTTGGTGGACACTTTAATAATTTTTTATATTTTTTGGGTTCAACTGACAATGTTGATACTAATACCAGATCAAAGGTTAGCTGTCGAAATTTCAAAAAATATATACATAAGCTGAGAAATATTTATAAAGCATTTTTAAAAAAATATTTTATTTTGTCCCTGTCTCTCTCCGTATAATAGTTAGCACAGATGTCGCTGAAATCGAAGATGGTGTAAAATACGATATGAGGCGGGAACAATATTCTGTATGGCCTACATGTATTGTATAGTATTGTCTATTTCGACTATAGGCATTCCTATCTATTGCTTTCTAATTATTATTAATAACTGGTTTTAAGGGGATCATTTGGTGGACACTTTAATAATTTCTTGTAATTTTTGGGTTCAACTGACAATGTTGAAACTAATACCAGATCAAAGGTTAGCCGTCGAAATTTCAAAAAATATATACATATGCTGAGAAATATTTATAAAGCATTTTTAAAAAATATTTTATTTTGTCTCTGTCTCTCTCCATATAATAGTTAGCACAGGTGTCGCTGAAATCGAAGAGGGTGTAAAATACGATATGAGGTGGGAAAGAAATTCTGTATGGCCTACATGTAATGTATAGTATTGTCTATTTCGACTATAGGCATTCCTATCCATCACTTTCTAATTATTATTAATAACTGGTTTTAAGGGGATCATTTGGTGGACACTTTAATAATTTTGTATAATTTTTCGATTCAAATGACAATTTCGATACTAATACCAAATTAAAGGATAAGTGTTAAAATTTCGAAAAATATATACATATGCTGAGAAATATCTATAAAGCATTTTTGAAAAATATTTCATTTTGGCCCTGTCTCTCTCCATATAATAGTTAGCACAGGTGTCGCTGAAATCGAAGATGGTGTAAAATACGATATGAGGAGCTAACAAAATTCTGTATGGCCTACATTTAATGTATAATGTATACTATTGTCTACTTCGTCTATAGGTGTTCCTTTCTAATTATTATTGATTGCTGCCAATTATTAATAATTTGTTATAATTTTTGGGTTCAACTGACAACGTTGATATTAATACCAGATCAAATGTGAGCTGTCGAAATTTCGAAAAATATATGCATGTGCCACTAAGAAATATATATAAAGCATTTTTAAAGAATATTTTACTGAATAGACCCCTGGATCAGCACAGCCAGAGATATTGATTTGTAATGGGAACTTGGAGGACATTGTGACCTCGATAGATTTAACGTGCAGAAGTCACTATTCGAATGATAATATTAGACGAAAATTTAAATCATAATTTTAATACTAAAACTTTTTAAAGCATCAGGTCCTCTTAACGCTGCGAAAGAGAAGAGATACACAACGGAAATTTTCTAAGCACTTTCAGAAAACTGCATATTGGCGATCGAAATTGGCTACAGGTGGCGCAGAGCTAAACTGTCTACCTTTCCCCCAATGGCAGGCATTGAATTTTAATATTTGCCTATGAAGATGCCGGAACTGTTACTCATTTAACTTTACCCAGTGGGCACCTGTGAACCAAAGTCACGAAGGCGAGCAACATTCCCCATAAACTGTCTACCTATTGGCGATCGAAATGGGCTGCAGGTGGCGTAGAGTAGAAAACTGTACCTATGGCAACACTTCGCATGCTTTCCCCATTAGCGTGTGGAAAGTTACAGAGGAAAGAAGAAGGTTAGATTCTCTCTTGATTTTCATATAGATTAAAATCTTAAGTAACACAAACCCCGTTTAAGCGTAATCCAACGGCTAAAACCATGTGCTAGTGACTTACGATGGGAGCGAGGGGCGACGGGTTCGAACCTCGACTGTGGTAAATTTTTAATTTTTTTTTTCTTTTGTTTATTTTACATTATATGATTTATTTAACGTGTTTTTCGATGTAGTAGGGATCCTATGTATAAAAAATATTTTTTTTGTTCGGAAAGATTCAAATTACTCGGCTGTGGTCAATTTTTAGAATTTTTTTTTCTTTTGTTTATTTTACGTTACATTATTTATTTAACGTGTTTTTCAATGTATTTAAGGATCCTATGTATAAAAAATATTTTTTTTTTGTTCGGGAAAATTCAAATAATGCTTAAAAACTGGAAAAAACCCGGAAAATTAGTTTTTTTAAATTATATTATTTTTTTAAACTTGTTTTACGATATTTTCACGACAGTTTATCATAGGAAAGGTGATCTATGTAAAAAATCAATTTTCTTTCTTTGCAGAAGAACGCATAATGGAATAAAAAATAAAATAAAATAAAATTGCGGGAAAAAGGCTCAAATTTCACGACCGCCTAATATACGCGTGGCCCAACGGCTAAGACCATGTGCTAGCGACTTACGCCTGGAGCGAGAGGTTGGCGGGTTCGAACCCCGGCTGTACTCAATTTTTAAAATTGTTTTTTCTTTTGTTTATTTTACATTATATTATTTATGTAATCTGTTTTTCGATATATTAAAGGATCCTACATATATAAAAAAAAATTTTATTTGGGAAATTTCAAATAATGCTTGAAAACTGGAAAAATCCCGGACATAAGTTTATTTAAATTATATTTTTTTAAACTTGTTTTACGATACTTTCACTATAGTTTAGCATACCAAAAGTGTTCTAATTATAAAATCAATTGTCTTTCTCTGTGAAAGAACGCATAATGGAATAAAAATCAAAATAAAATAAAATGGCGGTGAAAATTCTGAAATTTCAAAATTCACTAGCTGTATTTGCTTAGGCATCTCGCTTTTAATTATCTTATCGAATGGGTGTTTTTAATTTTAAAACTTAAATTTCAATTTCTAAATTTTTTTATTTTAATTTTTAAATTTTTAGCATCGTTATTCTATTTTTAACTTTTACTTGAATGTAATAACTAAGTCATTACAATCTTTGATTTCTGGGAAATTGTTTCCTATTTTAACTAATCCTATCAATTATTTAAATTTAAATATTGCTAATTATTTTTATTAGTATTTGAAAATTAATTTATCTTAAAAATAATTTTGTCCTAAGTACTTTAATTATTTTGTAAATTTCAATTTAACTTAAATAGAAGGTCCTGTATCCATTCAAGACACTCCGTATTTTTTGTTAAAGTTCAATTGCAAGGGAAATTTTACATTAAGCATTCTATTCTCCATGCTCCACGCTTAGAATAAAGTTATTTATTCTTGTTTCTGCTCCTTTTTGAGATGTTCATTTGATAGTTTGCTGTACGCTTTTATCTACACCGTATAAACTTTGAATTCCAAAAAAACCGAAAACGTCACAGGAAACAAGTAAGCTGAAAGCGTAAAAATATTTTCATACAATCTTTCGAAACTGATTTTAAACCAATAGTTTATTTTTACCATTTTTGAAGTATCCTTTAAAATTTATTCAGTAACAAACTAAGCAAGAAATTTACTCTGGTAGAAATTATTAATACAAAAGATTGAGAAACTGAAATAATTCATTAATACAGTGCTCAACATTCAGGGACCTTGTTTTGTTAATTTATAATAATTAATTTTGTTAATCTGAAATGTACTAATGTTTATAAACATCATTATTTCTCAAAATTCCGATTGCAATATTTTAATTGAAATATTATCTTTAATTCTTTGTTTTGTAACTTATATACAAAGATATTAAGTTTGCAATGTTCTACCTCGACCTTGAAACCTCTCTAGTTCGTTTTCCTTCTGGGGTCCATGTGAGAACAACAGTTCTTTTGTCTCCAGTCATTATTTGTAAAATAATAAATGCAAGTAGTATTCATTTAAAGACAACTGCAAGCTAAAAGCAGTGCAGCAAATTTAAAATACCAGTTTCTTTTAATTGATTATTCAATCTCTAAAATTTTCTTTTTCTAGAATGTTATTTAAATTGTTTGAGAGTTGGAGTAAAATTTACATTTTAAATTCAGTAAAATTTACATCTCATTGTTTTTTCTTTTCTTCCCATGTTGGTAACTGCGCTTATTTTTGCACTTAATTTAAAATATTTGTTTCTTTCTTACCTAGAGTACGAAACTGTTGCCTTTCCTTTGAAGTATTTTTGGGTGCTGAAGATTACAAATAGGAAGGAATTGATATTGGTATCACTGATAGTCAAAAACAAGAAGCTATCAGCCTACCTTATGGTTAATTATTAATTAAACTACCCTTTTATTTTTCGAATTTTCTGTTGTTGCATGTGGTTAGATAAAATCATTGATTCTTCATAATCATGTTTTTTGTAAGAAAAATAAAATCCTGTTAACTGTCAATTTTTCAAAGCTATAAAGGTCAATAAAAAAACTAAACTTATATTATTTTTCTTTATTTTCCTTTTGAAAAGACAGCTAGTTTATTAAAGTGGCCTTTCAAAACTTCTCACATTTTCACCAGATATTAACATTGTTGTTGACGTATGACTGTTTAGGCAGAGGGGGCGCGATTGTTCTTGTTTTCCAGTGGTGCCATCTATGACCAAGAATTCGACTTCTGCCACACCGTATGTCACACTCGTTTATAGGGCGGACCCATTCATACATCCATTCATTCATCCACAAATTGTCATTTTGACCTGAATCAGAGAACAATCGATCTCCAATCCAGTACCCCCAAAGATATTAGTTTGTTATGGGAACATGGAGGACTTTTGCGACTCGACAGATTTAACGTGCATCAGTCACTTTACTACACGGGAAGTCTTTGGCCGGCGGGGTTCGAACCCATGAACTCTCGGACATGGGGCCCAGCACCCTACCAACCAGGCTCTCCCGGCCCTAGATATTAACGTAATTTTGTTAACTGAAATACATTAATAAATGAAAAATAAATGTTCATTAAGTGTTTTATTTTTTTCTAGTGAAAGTCTATAAAATTTTAATAAATACTTACTTGTGAAAAATACAAACAAACAGTTATATACATCTTAAAATTTATCGAATTTTTAATTTCCATAAGCTTTTAGTGTTTAAATAACAGTTAGTGTACCTCTGCAAGTGTAAAAATAATTATTTTAAGTAAAATCACATTGATTCAACAGGAACCTGAAACAAAAGTTGAATCTGTTGCTTTGGTTACTCATTATGAGCAACAAGAAGATATGGCCAGAGCTTTGGAACGAAGCACGAGAATCATAAACAAATCAACCTGTGTGCATGCAAGATGATTCAACCAAGCAAGCTACCATGTCTGATTACAATTCTGTCTTCACTGTTTCATCTGGTAAGTAAAATTTTTGCTGATAATAAGTGTAATATTTTTAACTTATTGTATTAATCTGTATAATTAAGACATTTTAATTTTAGCAGAAAACATTTATAAATAAGAATTTTTCAAAGTACTTTTTTTTTCAAGAAATAAAAATATTTTTTCTTCATTAAGAAGGATATATATTGTCCTAAATTCTTATGAATCAAGAAATTGTGCCAAGCTATTTTAATTGACGATCACATTTTTTTTATTTATGTTTTTTATCAGTTTTATTGCTAATTCAGTGGGATATATATTTCTTTAAAGTCTTGCAAAATTATATACATTTAAGACACAATTTAGTTTTTCTTACATTGCAAACAGTTAATTCATTGTTAACTTTGAAGAAAAATTCAATTAATTGTACATATAAATTATTGAAATCTCGATTTTTTAGTTTTTTTATTTGAGTGTGGTTATGGATTAATAGCCCTTAAATTCACATTTCTGATTATAATTCCCAATATTTGTGACTTCAAAAGTAACACCTAAAGGAAGAGAGATTTGCCTGAATTATATTTTTTAAATGCAAAAGTTAATTTAGGTTTTAAGTAATTTTTTTAATTTGATTTGAATTGATCATACAAATCTGTTTCGGAATATGAATAAAGCACAATTCTTTATTTAATCCGTATTCAGTTGTGAATTGATGATACCTTTCTGAATAATAAATGTCCAATGTGTTAAATTAGCTGTAAAATTTTTTAAATTTCTATGTCTCTAATACTAATACATTAATAGAAATATAGCTTAATATTAGTATGAATTTCAGTGGGGTATAAATAATATACTAGCCTTAATGTTTTAATATTTCTGTATACTAAGTTTAAACAAGATCATGAAATTTGACTCTAACGGAACTAAACTGCTCTTAGGGGGGGAGGGGACTTTTTTTCTCATTTAAAATTGTATGTTTAAATTAATGAGTAGCTCTAAGCACGGATTTATATATTTTACTATGTAAATAAGGTAATAGTTTTTTTTTAATCTTTAGTATTGTCATTTAATTCCTAATCTTTTAGAGAGTTATTAATTTATAATTCTTACAGGAATGAAAAGAAAGCATATTAATTTTTTTTATTTAAATACATATAGGTAATTTATTGATTTTCATTTTAAAAAAATGTTTATCATAAACTAAATGCTGAACTTAAGTGTGATTAGGACACAAAAAATTGAAATTGCTTACAACAAAAGCATTGAAATAAATGATAATTAATTGAAATTAATTTTATTTGCATTGATATATTTTACTCCTAATTGGTATAGAATAATGCTTAATAAATTTAGCTTAATAAAGCTTATCTTCTTTAATTTTTTGTTTTATGAATAATTTTATGAATAAATTTAAATGTGGAATTTATAGTTTTATCTTTTATATATTTTACAATTTCATTTACAAATTCAATATAAATAAACAAAACCTGTTTAAAAATTTTGTTTCAATGAGATTCATAAATTTTAATTTTATTCTCTGTTATAATTAAGGATTTCTTCTATTTCATCCAGTTTATCCCATTGCATTCTGAATATGCAAAAATAGTGTCTTATCACTGTTGGGATGCAAGGTATGTCATTTATAAAAGTTTAACTCTATTCTAGATTTATAAATTTCAGAAATGTTTCAAGCAAATGTAAGAGCAAATCATCAGGCAAGTCTTTTAGCTTTCTACTTTACACTGTAGCTTATAAATCAGTATAAGAAAAAATACATCCTAGTACATTAACATGTTAATTTTATTCATTCAGTTTTTAAAATTACTTATGAATAATTATTTTTTCTATTATGAGACAACATAAATCAGTGGCCCCCATCCCCCCCAAGCTCTTGGGTGCATTCTTGGGCAAATTCTAAATCCCCCCCAAAACTATTCGTTTTATTTAGTGTAAAAATTCCCCCCCAAGCTTTAAGTGGGCGTATTAACTGAAGGCAAGTAAACAACTATATTGACATTAGCATGACTCTGAAATTTCGTACAACTTTTTTATTTCAATAAAATGAAATACATTCAATGACCTTCTTATAAATGGACACAGAGGAACAAAATTACATTAATTTTTATTTGGCATAAAATAATATAATTTATATTATTTTATGTGAAGTTATTTAAAAAAAAATATTTGTGCCCAGATTCATACAGATTTTTTGAAGTTATTTTTCAATTTTTATTACACTTTTTCTTCCTACTTGAGGAGAATGCTTAGGGGAAAAAAAGAAGAAGAAAAACTACTATCGAGAATTTACAATAGTTAGTTAAAAGCATTTACATTAAAAGGTATTTACATAATTGAAAAATAACTTCCAATCTTCTCTTTCTTGTATGTTTCAAAATTTATGATAACTACTGAAATAATAAAAAAATTATCAATTAATAGAGAATTTGTATTTCACAATTAGTTCCTTATAAGTTGTATTTTCTTACATGATTTAGATTTTGTAATTTTTTCAAGAACATAAATATTTAATAAACATTCAATGAATATTCATCAACTAGCTTAAATAATTAAGTAATTTCAAGCACGTATATATTGTTATATATTGTAAAATTTCTATTTCAAAATTAGTTGCTTATAAGTTATATTTTCATACATTATTTTAGGTTTTATATTTTCTTCCCTAACACAACAATTAAAATGCATAGTTGGTTACTAAATTTGCTGCACATAAAATAATCTTAACTTCTTTTTTAAGTTTATTTTTTCAATCGTCTCCTGTTTTTTAACAAAAACTCCTGTATTTTACGACTACCAGTATATTCAGTAAGTTTCTCTCGAAGAAATTTTTTAAAAAGATATTTTTCAATAAAATATCTGTTGATGGCAAAAATAAAATTCAAAAATCTTTAATTTATACATTTTTGCTTATTATTTAAAAATATAAGCAGAAAAATTCTTCTTTAGATTAAGATTTATATACATATTTTTTACTTAGCATAATGTAAGTGCTTATATCAATTTTTCAATTTTGAATTTCTCTTTTAGACTTACATGATTGTGCATGATGTATCAAAACTTTACTCGTAGTCTAAAAAATGTCGCTAGTAAATTCTCCGTTCTTTGTTTCTCCAATGTTGACAGGTATGTAGATGCATTTATTTGTTGATCTTCTTCATAATGATTAATTAATAAGATAAGTCATAATGTGGACAACTTATATTTCTGTTATTTAATCTCTTTACACATTTGAGCTAGTCAATAATTAAAATTTTTGCTTCACAAAACACATTGTAAGGTGCAAATAATATTATTATAATGTGTTGTGTAATAATCAAATTTCTTAAATCTCATCACCTTCAAAACAGAAAGGAGAAAAAAGACAAGAGAGTTTTCTGAAAGGCATAGCTTTAGTCTTTTTGTTGTGAATAAAAACATTATTCAGTGCTAATATGCCAGAATTGAGGGTTACTCAATAATATGTTATCTCAGTAATAACGACCTCACTTTTGTATTTTACTTTTAATTAAAATTAATAATTTAATTAATTGTGAAATTAGAAACATAACAGTTAGGAACAAGATGATTAGATATAGAAATTTAATTGAACAATGTTACTGTTAGTTTTTACAAAGTTAAATATAAAACTGCAAGTTCCTTGGAAACATCATGCTTATTTTGCTCCACTGGCACTCATAACAGCAATAATTTTATATATATTTCTTACTATGTTTATTTATTAGTTCAAAATATTTTTGGGGATGTATAATGTAATGAAAAATTAAATTTTCCTTTATTTAAATACTATTACTTATTTAAATAATATACTTTATTAAATTTATGCATAGCGTTTTTAAAAAATGTTTGAAGGTGCTTATTTTTGATTTATGTTTTTTAAAAGCTCTTAAAGGTGTTTTTTCTATTAGGGATTTGAAAAAAGTGTTTAATTCTATCTTTTAAAAAGAGATTTTTTCTTTGCTGTGTCGATTGGGGTTTTAAATTACAAAAAGGCATTATTTTCACAATTTTCTCTGCCATATTTATCAGAAACTAGTAATTTTATCATGTTTATGTTAAGTTTTTTAAAATAGTATTGAATTTTATTGATTTTATGTTTATAAATTAAGAACTTTAAACAATAGAAAACATTTTCTTTATTACTGCACAGATCCTAATTATGATTTTTTTTAATACTGATTCAAAATATTTTTGAGTGCTTGAAAAGTACTGAAAAGGTGCTTATTTTTTGTTGAAAAGTTTGACTATGCATCCTAAAATAAAATATTGTTTATGCAGGTTGATGAGGACCTTGAAAACAAAGCTTTTTATGCTGGGCATGTGTTGGGTGCAGCAATATTTTTGATAAAAGCAGGATCCCAATCAGTAGTCTACACAGTAAATCTTTTTTTTTTTTCTTCTCAATTATTGCCATCGTAAATAATTAGTTGGATTATTGTTTCTTATATTTATATTGAATGAGCTTTTGTGTTTTTGAAATTAGAGAGAAGCTAGATTTTGAGTGTTATGATTTTAATTATTACAATCATTTTTGGAAGGCTGTAATAAATTTATTTTATTCACATTAATTTGCAGTTCTACAACAAACACTTACCCATACTTGCCAGATATATTTCAGTTTCTTTTTTATACAGTAAAGCCTACTAAGTTTATTTTATGTCTAAGTTGACCTCTTATCAGGAACCAAATTCATCCTATTTTGAAATAGAGGTCAAAACTTTTGTAACTTATCAATCTTCCTATTTCCTTCTTTATTTTTGTAATGGAAAATAGCATAAAGAGAATACTTATTTTTAAAATAATGTTATCCTAAAGTTAATAAGATGGACAGAGTTAGGAGTTTTTCCAAGAGTTCAATAATTAAAGTCAGTACACAATGTTTTACCATAGTGCATAGTATTTTTAAAAAGTATTTATTTTCGTTTTTTAAAATCCCTTAAAGGTGCTTTTTCATTGGGGTGTTTTTAAAAAGTGCTTAATTATACCTTTTTGAAAATGAGATTTTTTTCTTTACCTTGTTGTTTTTCGCAATGTATTATGCAAACGCTGGTTTACACATTGTTCTATTCAACACTTTCACAATTCATTCAACCACAATCCATCTCGAGTACCATCGATCCTTAAAGTATGATAGCGCCAATCATGTTACATATTTGATGAAATTCTTGGGAGTGCTCATGTGTGTCTACTGAGCTGAATTTGGTGAGATTCTTGCACTCTCGTGTGCAACTCTGCTGCAGTTTGCAAGGTATTCTCAATTTCAGGCTTTATTTTCCACCCTCTGAAATTGAACCGAAAAGTCTCTCGATCTTTTTATGGTGGCTAATATAATCAGGAAAAGAGTTCTTTGTCAGAAACTAGTTATTTTATCATGATCATGTAAAGTCTTTGAAAATTACTTTGCATTTTGTTAATGTATATATAGTGTTATAAAATATTTTTTGAATTCTTTGAAAATACTTTAAAGGTGCTTATTTTTTGTTGTGATATTTGGCTAAGCACTTTGTTTACTTATAGCTGTATAATCTGTGTTCAAAAAAATTTTAGTATATTTAACACAGAATCGTAAATTAAAACACATTTTACTATTGGTGTGCTTCCTTGATTCTCCTGTGCATTCTCTTTTTTAATCATTTTCAATTTGAATATTATGAAAAATTCTGTTTAACAAATATTCTATTTTCACAGTCGATTTTTTTTATTCTTTTTGAACTTCTCATTAATTTGAATCAGGTAGAAATGCCTATTTGACAAGGATTCTATTTTAGCTGTCTAATTTTTTTTTGTTTCTAAATAATAATATTAACAGAAATTTGTATTATCTGTAATAATATTAATAATCTGTAATATTTGTATTATCTGTAATAATATTAATTAAATTTGTATTAACAGAATTAATACAAATTTCAACAATTTGAAAATTAGGTCGTCTCTGAAGAGGTTTTATATCTAACTTGCCAATGATGCATCTTATCTTCTTTTCTCAGGAAATTTATGCATAAATCAAATTTTGTCCCATCTTTTTTTCAGTACTTTAGCATTTAAATTGTCTTTTAACTTTTAAATCGTCTTTGTCTATGAAAGTAATCTGAGCCACATTTAAATGTTCCGTCTTTTTCGCAGTATGTGATAGTGATTAAAGAGCCGACCGCATACTCTTCAGTCATGTTTTCCATTTCCTCTTCAAGACAGTGGCCTTTCAAATCATACATTTGATTTTGGTTAAAATTAGAAAACATTCTAATTCTGATGATTCACTTCTCAAGTACATGAACGTTCAGTGCATGTCTCTTGTCCCTGAAGTCATTCTCTTTTGCCCTCTCTGAAATAGAATAGCTGGACAAAAAGCAAAATTTCAACGATTTTGTTGCTTCGACTTCATGAAATCATGATATTCTTTTGCATATTAGGTGCCATTTTTTAAAGCAGCCAATGTCTTGTTTGGCTTTTTAGAACAACCTTACATTCACATGGTATTTATAGTTGTATGTGTTGTGAGGTATTAATGAGATACACTTAACAAAAAGGAGAATAAGAACAAAAATGAGATAAGACACATTTTACATCATTATAATGCTTCTATAAACAAATGAAAAGCCTCTTTAGCGCCGTAGACATATATTGCATCTGCACTCTTCGTTACTCTGTCAGAGTTTGTATTATGACTGAATCCTTCATACTGTTTGTCTACGATAGGTACTCTGACCGCCACAAAGTCTGCGACAGTCTGGTGCTATGGAAACAAGAAGAGGGCATTTTAGGAAGGGTAGCTTCGATGATAGCTTGTATGGGAAGTATACCAGATTGGCTGACTCAGCCACCAGTGGGAGACTTATTTAATCTGATTCAATAACTTTTTTACGATTCGCATGAATATTTCTTTCTTACTTGAAATGATTCTCTCTACTCAATCAGTTGTTATTTTTTAAATACAAAAGGAAAAAAAGTGAACAAATTCTGATATTAAGGGTAGTACAGGTTTTTTTAATTTTACGATATTCATTATGAATGTTCATTGATTGTCAGATGGTTTAATTTCTAAACTTGCACATTTTTTAAAACAGTTAATTTCTTTTATTATTTGAGTTTTCTGGAAAAAGTGAAGTGCTTAAACTTATTAACTCTGATTTTAAAAGGAGATAAAACTTTTGCTGAAAATAGAAATAGTTCACGTTATCTGTGCCGAAAAAATATTAAATATCTTTGTTCTTATTATTTATTTTTTACTTTTTTTTAAACTGAAAGCAAGTTACCGCAAATAGGATGAAATCTAAAACTATCAACGATGATTTTTACTTGCACCCATCAAACCATCTGAAATTATCTAAGTTTTTTTTTGTTGCTTAAATTACGTTTTCTTACTTGTATTTTAATGTAATCTGTATAGTTTTTCTCACTATTTATTAAAAAAATAATTCTAACAGTTTTTTATTAGCAAATTTATTTTTTTTCCTAATAACCAATTTGCTATGTATGATAAATTTATAGATGAGTTATTTATTAATAAAACATTGAGCATGCTTTAAACAATTTTATAATATTTCCATACATATCCNACAAAACAATAGCCCAAAACGATTTTTTTTTATTTAATTTATTTTACAAGATGTTAACAATTAAATTTTAAAGCTCTTTTTAATTAAAAAAATAAATATCTAAGGATATAATAAATGGATTTTAAATAAATGTATCTCATTTTACGAGGAAGTTCTTGATAAAATAGTTATAAATAAAATATATTCTTCTAGTTCCAAGTTTCAACTCAAAAAATTATGTAAATAAATTATAAATAACTAATTATTCATAATATTATTCACCTAAAATTATAAATTTATTATTTAATATTATGTTTGTTATTTTGTGAAACTTTAGTTCAGGTTTTTAAATTCCCTCCAAATCAACTGATACAGTGCAATTGAGCGATCAGCAAAGTGGAGTGGCAGAGCGTGCCGTGGTACAGTGTTTCGCGTAATAAGCTATAACTTTTTATAGAATTGCGATCCATTTTTCTTTTGAAAAGCCATTTTGTTCAGAATAAAATTTACTTTAAAATGGGTTTTGTTTGAACTTTGAACGACATTAACAACATTTTTGTTTTTCATTTTACAACTTAATTTTGCAATAAAAATTAAATTTTTTAAACATTTGTTTTATTATATTATTTTATAAAAATCCATTCATTCTATCCTTAGATATTTATTTTTTAATTAAAAAGATCTTTGAAATTTAATTGTTAATATCTTGTAAAATAAATTAAATAAAAAAAATCGTTTTGGGCTATTGTTTTGTATAATATATACTTTTTAAAAAACATCAAAAAATGTAAAAATTATGATATCAAATTTTTGATGCTACCGCTATTAAAATTTTGACTCTTTTAAAAAAGAGAAAAATCGAACGATCTAAACGATGTTTCAGATGCGAATACTTATTTCTCTTCACTCTAGAGCTAACACAATAGACCAAAGAAACAGATCTCATTTTCTCGCGCCAAAACCAGTCTTAAAGAGGGACCCGCACCCCTACTTGAAATAATCATACCTCGTAACCATAGTCACCGCCACTCCTCCAGATGAATGTCTGTCGGAGTACCTATCGTAGACAAACAGTACATGGGAGCTTATAACTAACATTATCTTTAACCAAAATAAACAGCTCATCGACATTACTTTTCTCACTTAAATTAGTCTCTTTTGAATTTGATGTTAAATACTTCTCACATAAAGACTGAATTAATTTTTTTTACCTTTGTTGGTAATTTTGGAAGTGAGTGTAAAACTTTTTTTACGGCTTTACCAAGACTCTGCCAAGATTTGTATGGAGTATTTAAATTATTTGTATGTGAAGAGGTTGGTAGAATTTGATTTTTTCTATGTTTACACAATCTCTGCATAACAGCGTTTGCACATCTAATTTTTTAAGTCCAGCTTTTGTTGTGGAAGCTTTCTTCTCTGCCTTTCTCTGTCTGTTTTTTTTTTCATTATATCATGGAGATCTTGTTCAATAATATTTTACTAAAATATTATTATAAAATGTTCAATAATATTTTAATACAATAATATTTTACTGAAACATAAAATGTTTTTATCATGTTCTTTAAGAATTATGGCGTTCTTTCAAAAAAGGAAAAAAGATCATTTCTAAAGCGAATTATCTTTAAAACTTCTGTGATTTTAGAATTTTTATTATTATTTTTATTTTATCAATTTAAAATTCTAGCTGAAGCAAACCAGTCATTGGCAATTTTTTTTTCTTAGTTCAGAAATGCAAACAGAAAAATCAGGAGTATTTATTTCCCTTCCGATGAGCAAGAAAAGTATCTTTAGAATATAATTCTGCAGAAAAAAAAGAAAGAAAAATATTTGCTTTTGTATTTATTTTTTTAGCTGTTTTATTGCTTCAACTCTTTCTTTACTCTGTTTTTTAAATTTGAAATCCATAAGTATTAATATGCAAAGTACAACAGTTTTTGGTTATACCTATCATTTCAATTGATGTTATTATAATGCTTTTTTAAAATTATTGTGTTTTTGTCGTAGAAAATAGTAACTTTGTCAAATCATGAAAAATTCTTGGAATGAGTCATGGATTTGAAGATCTAAAATTTAGCAGGTAACCTGTAAAGGGCAATGTATGAAACGATTCATATTTCTCACATTTCTAGTGCATTCTGCAGAATACCAATTGAGAAACCGGCAAAGTAGGAAATAAATTACCGATTTGATAAAAGCTTTCTGTTTTTGAAGTGGAGATGTAATTTTCATCAACCCTTGACTACAGTGGCATACTCATTGTGTCAATTGACAAACCTGTGACGACCAATCAGATGCAAAAAACTCTTTACCATTGTGCGTATTGTTTTTTAAAGGTGCTTATTTTAGATTTTCGTTGTTTAAAAGCCCTTAAAGGTGGTTTTTTCATTGGGTGCTTTTAAAAAGTGCTTAATTTTTCCTTTTCAAAAATTAGATTTTTTTCTTTGCCATGTCAATTATGCAAAAGCCTGTTTTTCACACTGTTTTATACAAGGTATTCACAATTCATTCAACCACAATCTATTTTGGATTACTGTCGGTCCGTATCGTATGAAACCGCTAATCATTTTACATGTTTGATGAAATACTTGCGAGTTCGCATGCGCGTCTATTGAGCAGGGTTCGGTGAGATTATTGCACTCTCGTGTGCAACTGCTTCATTTTTCACCCTCTGATATCGAACCGAAAAATCTCTTGATCATTTCATAATAGCTAATATAATCAAGAAGAGTAATCAGGAACTAGTTATTTTATTATGATCATGTAAAGTCTCTTAAAATTATGTTGCGTTTTGTTACTGCATATAATGCTTAAAAATATTTTTTTAGTGCTTAAAAAGTACTAAAGAGGTGCTTATTTTTTGTTTAGAGATTTGGCTACGCACCCTGTTTACGTTTAGACCTTACTTTTTTAAGAAGTGAACGTTAAAAGTAGTTGCACGAAAATTCTTAAAAGTACTGTTTTTTATCACCTATTCACTACATATTTTGAAAAGTAGTGTACTTCATTTCAATCGACAAAAAGTGTAGCGATTACTGCAATTTCCTGACTTCTACCGACCACTGTATATACTTCGCAATAAATTATTCAAAAAAGTTAAACCTCTGTGGATAATAGATTCATTGTTTATTTGTACAAATAAAATCCAATTCTAGGTTTTAATGAAAGACGTCATGACTCTAGAAGAAGTTAGAGCAGTTTTTAAAAAATGTTTAGAAAATGCAGCACTCTCAAACTACGCTGGAATATCAGAACAAGCCAAAATTGAAGGTAAATTATTTGCAAATTTGGGTAGTACTAACTTTTTAAGTATGTACAAAAAAAAGTGTTTTAAATTTAAACTATATTGTCTATTTTCTATTTCTTCTTTTAAAATAGGTTTACTAAATATAAATACAGTCAAACTCCTCTATAGTGAACTCCCGGATATAGTGAACGAAATGTTCGGTCTCGTGCCTTGCTATATGTTGTTTTTTGTGGATATAGTGAACCGAAAAAGGGAGGAAATTCGATATAGTGAACTTTTTTCTGTCTTCAACTGGTTTTCTTCTTCATTATTTTCTAATTATTTTGAAATTTCTACTTCAAAATAAATACATACACCGATTTTTAATACCATCTATTGAGGGGAATGTATCGATAAGCATTTTTTTCTTGTTTGCTTGTTTTATCTCTTTATATCTTTGCTTCTTTACACTTTCCCATCCCTAAACAAACCAAGACCCAGGCAGATGATGGTGCACCTGTAAGGTGTCAGTGAGATCAATATTCCTTTTCTGTCAGATTAAATGAGGCATTATTGGTCAACCCTAATATGTGTTGATAAGGCCCTTATTTCAACTCCTTTTTGTTCTCAGTTCAGTTTAAAAAAGCCTGCAAACAAGTTTCTCAAATTTAACTATGGCGAGCAGTAAACGCAAAATGTTCTTCATTGATGATAAAATGGGCGTAATCAGAAAAATTGAAAATGGATGCAATCAAGCTGATATATGCAGAGAATATAAACTATCCAAATCTGCAGTTTGTAACATATGAAAAAATAGGCAGTTAAAAATTTCTGCTCATGAAAAAAAATTTAGATGCCAGAAAAAAGTTGAGAAAAGCAGATCACAAGGATGTTGAAGAAGTATTACTGAAGTGGTTTAGCATTAGAAGAACCCACAATCTCCAGTATCTAAACAAATGTCGATGAATTTGCTAAGTGATTTTACGATACTACTTTTATGTACTAAAATGGAAGGTTAGACTGGTTTAAAAAGCGGAATAACAGAAATTCAGGAAAAATTATCTGAGAGTCGAGAAGTGTTTCCATATCTGATGTTGAGGATTGCTCATCAGCTAGAGATTACTAATTTATTTTTTTTTGCATGCAAGACGAAGAGTAATAAAAAAGTAGCACATTTTTTGCTACTACTTAATATTTTCCAGTTATTTATTTGAATAATGTGTAATAAAAGGGAGGATTTAAGGAACCATTAGTTAAATTGCCTGCATAACGGATAAAGTGAACTCCCCGTTATAGTGAACCATAATGTCGGTCCCTTGAAGGTTCACTATAGCGGGGTTTGACTGTATTATGACTTCTATTGTTTTTTTTTAAATTCAGTTTATTACTATACTGTTTAAGATGAATAATCTTAAATAGATAAATTATTGTATATCTTGGGGTATAAGTCAACCTAATTTTCGATTACAAGATATAAAATTTCTACTATGTCAGGTGTATAAGTCAACTGCTTTGTAAACCAAATATGAAAATTTCTAAAATTGGAAAATAAATAAATAAAATTATTAAATTTCTTTGAATATGATACATTTACCCTCAAGTAAAGATGGTGTTTTCAGGGCTAGGCGTGATTCACTTTTCTCACTTAATGTCAGTATCTTAAAAAATAGTAACTTTTATTTACTGTTTTTAAGGCTGTTACTTATCTCTTTTTTTATTTTAATTTCACAATCCCTCCCTCCCATTTCAGTCAAAAGAAAGATTTCACTAAACCCATGATCCTCTTGCTATAGTAAAGAAGGAGTCACCCAAATGGGTGGGGCATGGAAGAGGATTGAATGTGTGAAGAAAAATAGACAATTTCCACTTTCAAATGAATTGTTCACTTTTTTTCAGTGCTGTAGTTGAAAATTCTTTATTTTATTTTACTTTTATGTGTTTTTGGATGAAAAATA